GGCCGGGGGCCGGGGGGGACGTGAGGCGGCCCCCCCGGCCCCGCACCCCACGCCAGTGCCCCCGCCCCGGCCCGCCCTCACGTGACGCTGCCGGTTGCAATTTTAGACTGTCAGCTGACTCGAAAAATCCCTGGAGAGGGGCCGCCGCGCCTACAAAAACAGGGAAGGCGGCCGGACGCGGCGCCGCGGCCTCCCAGCAGCGGGACCCTCCGAGCTCTGTCACCCCCCAGCCACCGCCGCCATCGCCGCCATGGGCCCCCACGGCCTCCTCCTGCTGCTCGCCCTGGCGGGGCCCTGCACGGCCCTCATCAGGTGAGCCGTGGGGGGGTCCCTCGGGTTCTGAGCCCCCCGAATGGCGTGGGGATGGGGGGGCACATGGGACATGCACCCCAGGTGCTGGTGCAATGGTGGCCTCCGGGCTCCTCTCGCAAGCACCGCCCCGGTGCTGTGCCACCCCCCCCCATTAAATCTGAGGGGAGAAGGGCTGAGACCCCCTCAGATGGGGGTTCAGGGCTGATGCCCTGCCCATGGGGGGGGTCTCGCCCCGGCTTCCCCTATTCCCAGTGACCTTTGGCAGCCACCTGCTGCCCTCACCCCTCCCCATCCTCCGGCTTTGGGAAAAGCGCCGAGCGCAGCACGACAAGGGGGATCTGGCACGGGGTGCTGGCGGGAGCCCAAACCTCATCCACCCCATGCTGGTGGGTCCCCTGGTTTCGGTGGTCCTCCCCGGGGGACCCCCCCCACATCCCTCCATTAACAGGTGGGCATTTACCCTCCCCTCACAGGATCCCCCTGACCAAGTTCCCCTCCATGCGGCGGGTCTTGAATGAGGTGGGCAGCGAGATCCCAGACATGAACGCCCTCACCCAGCTCCTCAAGTTCAAGCTTGGCTTTGCTGACCTGGCTGAGCCCACCCCGGAGATCCTGAAGAACTACATGGATGTGAGTAACCCCCTTCCTGCCGACCACCCCCCCACTGTGGCGGACCCCAGTGCGATGCTGGCCAGGCAGCCATCACTTCTGGGGGTACCCATCCTGGGGAGGTGGTAGGACATGCCAGCCTCGCTGTCCCACCACAGCTGGGAAGGTGAAGGAGGGAGAGATGTTGCTCTTGTAGGAGAGACTCATGCACTCCCACAGCTTGGTGGGTGGTTGCTGAAAGTTGCTTCCTATCATTGCTAAACTAAAAATACTACTACTACTACTAATAATAATAATAAAAACCAACCCACCGCCACTGGAGCAGGAGCTTTGCAGCTTCTGTGACCTATTTCCTTTCCCTTTTGTTACTAGATAACTATAGTAAATAGGGGCCTGCTTGCTTGTAGTCCATCCTAGCATCTTCTGGCCAGTTTGGGCTCCACTTTCTGCAAGACAGGGGCATAAAAATCAGGCTCCAGTCCTTAGGGCGTTGGGGTATAAAAGAGCGAGCATAGGGCAGGAGGAGAGGCCTCGGACTGGGCACCAGCTTGCTATGGAACTAGGGATGCAGGACCCTTCCTCTCACTATCCTTCATCTTCTGCATGGCCTTGGGAAAAGGCACCCTGCACCTCCACCTTCTTCTCGGCAGCTTAGGGAGCAAAGGGACTTTCGTGGTGGAAGCAGTGATAAAAGGAGAAGCCAGATAAAGGACGTGAGGTTTGCCCTTGCCCAGCTGCCAGACACGTGTGGGGTTTCCTATTTCTGAGTTCCCCACCAGGTACCCTTGCAGCTCTTGGGGGGTGGGATGCGAGCACTGGCCGGCAGAATAAAGCTGGTGCCAGATATTTGGGCATTAATTCAGGATATTCCCCGCTGCTCGCCTTCCCCAGGGGCTCTTGTCACCCAGCCAGCATCGTCCTGCTGGGGCTGTGCTGGGAAGGGCCACCGGTGTTTTAATGGGTGGTGTTGAAAGCCAGGCTGCTAGCAGTTGCACCATGCCGTTGTCTTGCAACTGCAGCTTGGGCCACCGCTCGGGGAAGAACTCTGCTCCCTTGTCGCAGGGGGACCAGCCCAACCTGTGGTGGGAGATAAGGGACCACTGGGTCCCTCCCAGTCAGGCTGAAAATGCTCTTGCTGCCAGAGTTGCTGTTGGGGTGAAAGGCACAACCTCCCCTAGACCTTCCTGTGTGGTCCCCACCAGCCCCTGGGACCCCTCGCGGGTCTGTGTATGTGATGTACGGGGCCCCTATACCAGGTGTTAATTTTCAAGCCCCAGCAAGAATTACAGAATGACTGGAAGCAAGTGCTGCCTCCCCATTATGCCTAATTGCAATGGATTATTAATTACTCAGTGAGCAACCCCTGCAAACTAAGTGCACAGGAGGTGAGCAGCTTTGATAATCCTGGTTCCCCCCCCCCCCCCCCTTAATTAAGGACATGGAGGGGCTGGAAAGACCACAGAGCGAGTTCTCTTGCTATCAGCCTTCTCTCCAGGGCCCTGATCCAGCTGCTCACCAACCATGACATGGCTTTCTGCCCCTTTGGGAGGGCTGGGGAAAAATGGGTCTGTCTGGGACCTGCCGAGGATTCCCCATTCATTCTCTCCCCTCTGGATAGAGGGGTGTCCTGCAAACATCTCTGCTGCCCAAGTTTCTTCCAGTCCCAGCAAAGTTGCACTCGCAGGGCAGAAGGGTATCCATTGGATACCTGCACTACAGGGACTTCTCCCAAACTCTCACCCTGCAGCCCTAAATCCCTCTCTGGCAGTGTTGCTGATTCCCTTTTCTCCCTCCAGCTCCTCCAAAGTCTTCCGATGCCTGCAACTGAGCATTTTATTCCTCCCCAACCAGGGGCTTGCCAGCCTGCACCAAAAGCCCCAGCAGCTGTACCTCCACCCACAATGGGCAGAACTGCTGCTCACTGCAACCCACAGTTCCTCTGCAAACCTGCCAGCAAAGCAGCTTCCCAGCCAGTTTCAGCTTTTCAATAACACAGGTGTTTTGCTTGGCTTCCTCCCATCTTTTTTCTCTTCCCTATAGTGAACTGCATGCTGGCCTGTAGACCTTCTCCCTTCTCTTCTGCCCTGTCTCCCTGCCCCAAAAGTCTCCCTGCCAGCACCTGTCCCACTTCTCCTCCCAAATTTATCCTTCTCACACCCGCTGTAATGAAGTATGAACACCAAAGGGGAGCCTCCCTTCCAGAGGATGAAGGCTGAGAGCCCATCACTGCCAAAAACATAACAAGGGCAGTATCTAGAGAAGAAGCTGGTCCCTTTTTCAATCCTAAGAAATTTTTTGGTCTTTAATCCCTGCTTTTAGCCATCTGCCTCTGCTCATGGCTCCCTTCTCCTTCTTTGCAGGCCCAGTATTATGGTGAGATAGGCATCGGAACCCCCCCACAGAAGTTCACTGTGGTCTTCGACACTGGCTCCTCCAACCTCTGGGTGCCATCTGTGCACTGTCACCTGCTGGACATCGCCTGCCGTAAGTGTCACCGGTGCCAGCCATGGCTCAACAGCTTCTCCTTCCCTGCAAAATGCAGATCCTGCCATTGCAAGAGGAGAAACTGAGGCAGCAGTGTGAAAGGGCTTGCCAGAGGCCGATGGGCTTTTTAGGGTCAGAGCTGGAAATAGGATCCCAACCTCCCGCATCCATTCATCATTACTCCCTTCCTGGTTTTTCCCCTCCGTGTCACCCACACACAGCTTCAAACCTTCCCCAACAGCCTCAGCCCTGCAGCCAGAGAGCAGCATCACCGGTTGTGATGTTTCTCCCCAAATTATAGACTGACGCTGCTGTTGTCCCATTGCGCAAGGCTGGTGAAAAAAAATCAGCCTCTTGCCAGATCTGATACAAACTGCCCTAGTTTTTGGTTTATTGCTGCACAGAGCATGTGCGTGCGTGTTTATGGATTTATAATTAACAGGAGCCAGGTAGGCACAATAAGATGAGAGCATCTTAGGGACTACAAGTTTTTTTGCTCTGTGGCATTCCTATGCAATAAACCTCCACAGTTGAAGGTGTCAAACCTGGCTGTGGAAGAATGCCATTTAAAACCCACCGGCTGTGCTGCTTAAACAGAGTGGAGAAACCTGTGGAGCCCACAAATGCAACCATGAAAGGCGGCCCACAGTGCTTGTTGGGGGTAGGGAGGAAATTTGGACTTCTTGTACAGCCCTGTAGTGCTCAGAGAGGAGACAGACCTTCTTTTTGCATATGTGAAATGAGATTTAGGACACTGGTAAGGTGGTGAAGTCCAGACTTGGTCTGTCTTGGGGTTTCCTGATCTGTAGCAGAGAGCTGGTTTCTTAAGGCAGTGGTGCGGGAGGAGCTGGGACCAAAGGGCTTGTTTTACGAACATGCAACGAGCCTAAACTCCTGCCAGACCAGGATCCAGACCGCCCAGCTGGGGAAGTCCCCATATAGCGTATTGGTTTCCATAGGGCTGGGCTGGTTTGCCCTCAGCTGCTGTCTGCCCGGCTCAGCGAGCAGCCGTGGAGCTGGGCTAGCCAAGCTTGTCACACGCCACTGCCCAACTCGTGACTGAGGAGGAATCTGTGGAGGAATCTGCCCAGCCATAAAACCAGGGATATATTACAGTTCCCAACCCTTCCATGGGGAAAAGCATCTTAGACTAGGGGAAAGCCCTTCTCCTCTGCAAATAAAAGAATATTTTGAGCCTTCTCTGTGCAAAAAACAATGGGGTGGGTTCCCCCTCAGCTGCTGTCGCCCGGGCCCGGCGAGCAGCCGTGGAGCTGGGCTAGCCAAGCTTGTCACACGCCACTGCCCAACTCGTGACTGAGGAGGAATCTGTGGAGGAATCTGCCCAGCCATAAAACCAGGGATATATTACAGTTCCCAACCCTTCCATGGGGAAAAGCATCTTAGACTAGGGGAAAGCCCTTCTCCTCTGCAAATAAAAGAATATTTTGAGCCTTCTCTGTGCAAAAAACAATGACCATATAAAAAAAATTCCGGCTACTCTTAGTAAAAGAAACAGATAAATCCATAAAGTGAAAATGTTCATGCCCAGAGCAGGCTATATTTAAAGCCACCCTGGTTCTCCATGGCACGGGGGACACGTTTCGCTCTGCTGTCTAACACACCCTGACATACCCGCCACATAGCCTCTAGGCTTTTAATACCCGGTGGCTAAATCCGATTTAACAGCCAAATTGGATTTGCCCACCTAATTCCTCAGACATTGGAAATGCTTTGTTAAGGAGTCTGGGCTTGGTAAATGCTGGGTTCAGGCCCTCCTTCACATCGTTGAGTGTCTGTTTGTCCAGATGAGCCGGGTGGTGTGGGGTTAGGTATTGGGGAGACCTAGGTATGAAGAAGCACTAATGTTGTATGTCCCCCTGTGTCCCCCTCCTGGGTTGCAGTGCTGCACCACAAGTACGATGCCTCTAAATCCAGCACCTACGTGGAGAATGGCACCGAGTTTGCCATCCACTACGGGACGGGGAGCCTCTCCGGGTACCTCAGCCAGGACACCGTCACGGTGAGTAACAACGGCCCTTGCCCCAAGCTGCCCCAACCTGCTTTCAGCAGAGCGCTTGAAGCCGTTTGATTTCAACGGCTCTCCCTTCTTGAGTGTCCTACTCATATAGAGCATGCTTCAGTGCCGTGTTTCCAAGTGCTTTGAAATGAGGTGGTGATGATGACTGAGGAGGTGATGATGACCAAGGCAGGCAGAGAAGGGGGAAGGTATTAATCAGCAGGTCAGCAGGCTAGGAGTGTGGACCACACGCATGGTGCCCTGCAAACATGGCCATCCCTCCAACCCTCTTCCTCATGACCCCGGAAATTTCCCAGCCCAAGTGCATGCCAGCACCACTGCACAGGCTGCTGGTGGTGCCCAGCTTGTTCCTGACCAATATCTGTGCAGTAGTGGACATCCACATGGGCAGCTGCGCAAACACTAGCTAGTGGCTCTTCACTGCCCCGTCCTGATCTGGTGTTGAGAACTAGTGGTTATGTTTGCAAAGGCTGTGTAACGCCTGGCGGGGGTTCCCCAGCAGCATTCAGGGCCCAGCTTGAGGTAGCCGGGCTGCTGGTGGTTGCTTCCCATCGTTTCCTTTTCAGCGAGCAAAGGCTGAGCTTTCTGTCCTGTGAAGGGTGGGCACCTTTCACGGCTGCCTCAGGTACAGATGTTCGTGAGAGTTTGCCAACTGTCAAACATCAGCGGCACACGTGCTCTCAGATTACTTGGTCTCCTGACAGGGATAAGAGCATATGTTTGCTTTGCCGGGGGGAGACAAAGCAAGAGTGCTGAGGAAGCACATAAATCTAGGGATTTGGGGTTTTCCATGTTAGGTTCAGCTGAAAAGTATTGGCTCACCAATTTCATTGGGATCAAAAGAAAAATATCCAAGAGGAGCCTGAAGTGGCTGGCTTATGCAAGGAGCACTCTTTAGCCCATCCTTATAGCAGGAAAATTTCAGGCTAGCGTGGAATCACCAGCCATTGCCTCTGTGCTGCATCCAAAGATGCCAGCAGCTCACTCTGGGTGCAGGACATTCTTTGGGGGAGAGGGCTTTCGATGGGCTCAGTGAACCCTGAAAATCAGTGCAGACAAGGCTGTGGGGGAGAGCCGCAGGGGCTGCCAGCAGCTTTGCACCTCTGGTTTTGCTCTCTGCCTCCTGCAGCCCACCAAGCTTCAGGACCATTTCAGTTTTGGTTCATGCCATTTATTTCCTGCATCCCTTGGTTCACTTAAAAACACCCTGCTGCAAAAAAAGCTGCCCATTGGAGCCTTCCCGCAGCTCTCACCAAATGAAAGCACTGTGTACGTAGCATTAATGAGTTCTCTTACATTAGGTTTGCAAAATACAGATGGAGCAGGCGGAGGCATCTGCATTCGTCCCAGTAATGGAGCGGGGCAGCGAGGCAAACAGCAAACTTTATTGTCCTGTGAAAGTGTGGGCTGGTTTAGGCGCTTTCTGACTTAATGCAGGGGCTGAAATGAGTCAGAAGGAAAATTGCAGCTTTTTTATTTTTTCTTTGTTTGAAATTAGCACCCTAATGCCTGCTTGCTAATTAGCTTTCCACTTCCCAGCAGCTCAGAGGAAGGATTTTGTGCCTGAGCTTGTTCGGGAAGTGGGGATGGCTCTTGGCAGCCAGCACAGCTTGTAGCATTTGGTTTCTGTCTGGGCAGAAGCAAGAGAAACCTCTTGCGTGAAGCCTGAGCAGCGTCACGCTTGCAGTACGCAGGAGCAGGGCCACCTCAGAGGGTCAGGGACCTTCAGCTTGGACACCAAGATGCTGCCTCTGCTGTACAACATCCCATAGGCAAGCTCCCTGTCAGGTGTAGTCTGAAAATACAGGCATTGAAACAGCCTTCAGGGTGACCCTCTCAGCTCCAACCATCCTGATGGGTGGAAGCAGCCACAGCAGCCTGTGGTGGCACTGACATCTGACCGAAAGGCGCTGGTTGGCAGGTGGTCCAGAGTCCCTCAGCCCTGAATTTTTTTTTTTGAGAGGGTGACAAGCTTATGTCGAATATCCTCTCTCCTTCTGTGGAGGACTGATGCCTCGTAGCACCGCACTGCTCGGTGCTGCTCACCTTCCGAAGAGCAGCAGGTTCAGCCAGCTCTCTGCTGCTCAGGCATCTCAGCTCTTTATTGCAGCCTGACCTTGAGATGTCCTTCAAGGACAGCAGAGGAAGCATTGATGGCTGTGGGGCACAAGGTCTCTCCTGGGGCTGCAGGGCAGATACAAAGCGCAGGAGATGCCCCTCCTCACCTCTCCCCTGTGCGTCTGCACAGGAGAGCCCGAGCCCAGCACCAAACCGTGCCACAGAGGCCCTCGCCTCTAGTCTGCCTTCACCATCCAGCTCTTGCCCGCTTGGCTGAGGCTGCTAACAAGGAGGCTGGGCGAGCTGCAAGGTGCCGACACCTGTCTGCAAAGTGCTGGAGGGTGGCCACCATGCAGCCATCCACTGGTAATGATGGGCGAGAGCCAGCTGAGGGACAGAGATGAAGGATCTGTCACCTGGCGCCAGTGCTCTGCTAAAGATGCTCTTGGGTTTCAGTCCTGCTGACGACCAAGCGTGGGCAGGGTCTGCTGAGACCCCACCACCGGGCTGGTGTCTGCCTCCCTCTTGGGATGTGCAACCAGGGCAATATTCAAACAAACTTCGCACTCAGTTTTATCAGTCCGTTGCATTTTATTTTTTTTTAAGTGGAAGCCTTATTGAACTTTCAGAGCTGCTGCAGGACCAGCAGTGCTGAGTGGTGGAGCGGTGGCTTTTGTAGACCTGTGGCATACAACTGGGGCGCTCACCACGCGCTGGTGAGCGGATGCATTGCTGCGAGCTGTTTCGCTCCACATCCTGCCCTGTGGCTTTTAGCTTTTGCAAGGCTCGATCGCCCTTTCCTAGCACAAGCCTCCGATACCATTAAAGCCCACACTGCCCTGTCCCAGCCTTGCATTGTCTAACCCTGGGGGGATATTAGTAATTTACAGGGATCGTTATCTGCCATCAGGTAGGAGAGGCCAGCTTTTCAGTCCAACCCGGTTCACTCCAGGGCTGCTAGCTGGAGGCTGAGAGGCTGAAATCATCCTAGAACGGATGCTAAAATTGCCCATGGTCAGCCAGAAGCTCAGAAACCTCCTGAACTGCTAGAACCAGGAGCCAGCAGACACATCCTACTCCCCGTCAGCAGAGCTATCCTGTTTTCTGCGATCTCCTTCTTTCTGGGGATCTGCCCTTGTGGGGTGTTTCAGCTTTCCAGAAGGGAATGCCAGTCCTTCTTGTGGCTGGCAAGAGAGGTGACCTTTGCATTCACAGTACTCCGCATGCTATTTTTGTGCTTTGGGCTCAACGTCGCTTTCCTGGCTGCGTCTTCTCCCCTCCCACGGGAGGTTGCTGCAGGCTGGTGGCTCTTCCGGGACATGCAGCAATATCCTGGGGATGTTTCGTATGTACAGGAGATTGCAGGGGTCATTGGCAGAGGTGAGAGGAATTTGTGCTCCCAACCAGGGACGGGTGCAGCACCCGAGGACACAGAGATGACTTAGATGTCCAGAGTGGGAAAGAGGATTAAAGGCACAGCACAAGAACTTTTCAGACTGGGAGGAAAGGATGAAGCAGGCAATAGGGGAAGGGATGTAGGGGGGACAAAGTCATATGGGGCCCTCTGTGTAAAGAGGAGGAGCTGGCATGGCCAAGTGCCAGGACCTAGCAAAAGGCTGAAAGTGTTGAGTGAGGTGGGCAAAGAGCAAAGGGGGGCTTCTGCCCATAGGGGTGCTCTGGGCTTTGCAGGGACTCAGAAGGTGCCACTGGGTAGCTAGCATGGTCTATCCCCCGCCCCGAGGAGAGTGGCACTAGGGTATCTGGTTTCTGCAGCTGCCTACGAATGCAAGGGTGAAAGCAGGCAGGAGTGTGGCAGCGCATTGAGGGACGCGCTACAGCCTGTGTTCAGCGAGATCCCATTTCCACCCCAGTCCCCCGAGTCAGTTTTCTTTACAATCTGCTTTTCGCTTCCCTCCCCATCTCCCCTCAGCTTGGTAACTTGAAAATCAAGAACCAGATCTTCGGGGAGGCAGTGAAGCAGCCAGGCATCACGTTTATCGCTGCCAAGTTCGATGGCATCCTGGGCATGGCATTCCCGAGGATCTCTGTGGACAAGGTCACCCCTTTCTTCGATAACGTCATGCAACAGAAGCTGATCGAGAAAAACATCTTCTCCTTCTACCTGAACAGGTAGTGTTGCGTTTGGTGGCATGCCTCTCATTGTGAGGGCAAGCTCAGCCAGGCATTTCTCTATGCCTCCCGGTAGCATCTCTTGCCATGTGCTGGTTTACGCCCTGGCCAGCACCGTTGGGGAGGTCTCAGCAAGGTCTCCTTGCTGGAGCAGTCAGGAGTTGGGCCAAAATCTCTTCTGTTTACTGCTTTGAAGTAAGAAGAAGGGAAGTAGAAATGCAGCCATTTTACTGATAAGAAGCTGGGTAGATCTGCTACTGGATTTCTTAACTGATGAAGCGACAGAGGATGTTTCCAGAGGAAAGAGAAATAAAAATAAACAGGGTTGTGATCATGAGATTGTACACTGCTAGTGCAGTCGCTGTTAAGGGGGTAAACACAGCCCCAGTTTGTTGCCAAAATTCGTGAGCCGTGTGGCCACCACCATGTCACCTCCCAGGCAAGCATGCCCCCCACCAGTCATCACTAATGATGGGGCTAACACTCCCTCACCCCTCAGGAAATCCTCCTGCGCAGCTCCCAACACCTTACCACCCACTGCTGCTCCCCCCAGGACACCCCATCACCCTCCTGGCACCACAGCGGGGACTCTGAACTACCTCAGCCCAAAAAGTAGCACACCGGGAGCGGGGAGGGCAGAGAGGGCTGCTGCTGGCCGTTCAAGTGCCATCCCTCCCCCATCACCATATTTCTTCCCATCTGCTCAGCAGCGAGCTTTTATCTGACAGTAACCTTGAGGATTCGGCTCTGAGGCTGCTGGCTGGCACAAAGTTGGGTGCAGATAACCTAACGCTGCATCAGCCATGTCCAACCCTGCACAGGTGCTTGTTACAAGCTGATTATTCGGGGCATCCTTGCACCAGTGCTCAGTTCCCCTTTGCTGTCCCCCTTTTCTGCAGTGAGTTTCTCCAGGTATCCGTGCGAAAGTACGAGGCAAAAAGCTGCAAGGTGCTTTGGCTGGGCCAAAATATTCCCATTTCCCCACCCCAGCCTATCTTGTCCTTATATTGACATATTATAGCACGACGTAAGTCATCTGTCTCCAATGCTGCTAATGCCGTGCTTCACCCCCGAGCACCTTGATGTGTGTTTTGGGGGCACATGGAGCAGGTTGCTCATCACCTTGCCCCTGATGTTCATGAGTTTGGGTTTGTTTTTTTTTCAGAGACCCCACCGCTCAGCCTGGCGGCGAGCTGCTCCTGGGAGGGACCGACCCCAAGTATTACAGCGGTGACTTCAGCTGGGTCAACGTCACGCGCAAGGCCTACTGGCAGGTCCACATGGACGCGTAAGTCCCCCCTCCACCCGACTACATGCGTGGGGACATGTGTGCAGACAGCTCATGCCTGGGGCTGGGCTGAGACCCTCCCCAAAAAGGAATCATCTCTATCCCTGTAACACATCCACACCAAAAAAAAGCAGATTAAAATCCCACCCTAAGGCTGGGTGGTTTGTTGCTGGAAGAGGAGGAAAGGCAGAAAACAGCAGGAGATGTTCTGCAGGATCCTTTCCTCTTGTTTACAGCTTGGCCCTTGAAAACGCCTGCTGCGCTCTTGTGAAGCAGGGACAAACACTGGCGCATCCTCCTTGCAGGCAGGGCGAGCCCCACAGATTAAACCCCAGCTTTGCTCAGCTCTCAGTGAGGCCTGAGCTGTGTGGCTCACTTGCACACAGCTCCGGAGGAGCAGGATGAGGCCCCAGGAAGCCAGCCCTTGACTGAAGGGCACGGTGCGGCAATCAGCACGCATTGTTGGAGGCAGAGGGGAGGAGAGCGGGCTGAGCTGCCGGCCTCCAGCCCTGCGGTCTATTCTGAGCTCTCCCACGTGATAGGAACTTAAAAGCGGCCTGTGATCAGAGTGTGTCCTTTCCCCGGAGATCGCATCCCTCCCCAGCGCAGGGTTTTAGTTTTCATCTTCCCCCAGCCCTGCCATGTTGGCAAAGCATGGCAGACGCTTGGCTGAAAGGCTTTATCTGTCTGCGTTGCAAGGTGAAGAAGCCAAGCAGCTCCTGTCTTGCCTCTTCTATATACACAAACCCTTCCCTTGCCCATGGCCCCCTCAGCCGTCACACCACCCCTTTAACCCATTGCTTTTTGCAGTAGCACAGGTCATACAAGTCCCTAATGCATCGCCCTTAGCTCGCTCACGTGCCTGTTAGTCACAGTGTTTAGCAGGCAGGGTACGCAGGCAGCCGTCCGGGCAGCCTGCAGAAATGCAGTAATGCACCAAGGCACCCGCTCAGTCGGGAGCAGGCGAGGGCCCTGCGGGGTGCCAGGGGGTCTGTGCACTAAGTCGGTGCTGCATCAGGATTTCTGAGCACTTGTCCTTCCTGAGCGTCTGTTGCAGCCCTCCCTCACATGCCTACGTACTGCCCAGGCTCAGCTGTCTTCACTTCTTTGCCTGCTGCTCCCCACAGCCTTTGCTGGAAGGTCTCTAAGGGTTGTCTTCTGTCTGGGCATCTCTCCCCAGGGTGGACGTTGCCAATGGGCTGACTCTGTGCAAAGGGGGCTGCGAGGCCATCGTGGACACAGGAACCTCACTCATCACTGGCCCCACCAAGGAAGTGAAGGAGCTGCAGACGGCCATCGGTGCAAAACCACTTATCAAAGGCCAGGTGAGGGCGGGCTGGGAAAGTGGGAGTCCGTGGCCATCGCAGCATCCATGCTGATGCCCTGCTTTGCACCCAGATGCTTCTAGAGACCCTGGTCTTCTGCTCCCTCTGCTTCCCATTCCCAGCCTGGGCTCCTGGAAAAGCCCCTGGCATAGCAGGGACCCCTCTGTCTTTTGATCCTGGGTAGCATTCAATGCCCTGCTCATGCTTTTGGTAGAGGGCACAGTCCTGTGAACTTCAGGAGGCTTTGGGTCATCTCTGCCGCCTGTCTGTGGGAGGCAGAGGAGAAGGGGTGCAAGTTGAGCTGAGGCCAAGGATTCACATTAATGTGAGTCCAGAGGCACTTTAATACAAATATATTTAATGCAAATGACAACCCTTCCCTCCCAAGCTTTTAACCGTCTTAGCTAATCTCACAAGGTCATCTCTCCTCCCTGAAATTGTGGAGGAACAGGGATTATAAGGACCCTCTAGGAAGGATGCTCTGCTCTGAAACCCCTCCCAAATCACAGAGCCATGAGCACTTGCAGGGCTTTTCTGCAGTGTGGGGACACCCCATGCTGCAGCAACCTGCCACCCTCCCCGAGGCTCGCTGGTGTTAATTAAACTGGCTTTGTCCATTCATCACACTGTGAGTCCCTGTCTGTGTCTCTAAGCTGTATCGAGACACATCTCCCCCTCCTGTGGCAGAGGAAGGACCCCAGCCCTGCTGTGTCAGGTGCTGTGCCCTGGGGTTCAGCATAGCCAAAAGCTGAACCCAGCATCCTTTGGCTCCATCCCTATCCCTGAAACCCTCTAGCCCCTCAGCTTGCAGCCCTGGGCAGGGAGCAGCCCGCTTACCCCAGCTCAAGCCTCTTTTGCACCCTGAGATGAGCAGTTCTTAGGGAAAACCACAGCAAAGATGTGGTTATGCCCAGGGGGATCGTGCCCTTTGCTGAGCGCATGGGAGCTGCCATGTAAAGCCTTTACTGTTTCTGTTTCAGTATGTGATCCCCTGTGACAAGGTGTCATCTCTGCCTGTCGTCACACTAACGCTAGGAGGGAAGCCCTACCAGCTCACCGGAGAGCAGTACGTCTTCAAGGTGCGTCCAGGCATCTTTTGCCAGCCCTGTGCTTCTCCCCCAAGGCCTAATTTTTGCCTTGTCCACTCAAACCTCAACCATGAAATCCAAAATGCAAGAGCAGCAAAAGCAAGGCTGGAGCTGGCACTTGGGAAAAAGTCTGAAAGGTCGGGGTGATGGGGTGGTGGCACTGGCTGATAGACTCAGGCAACCTCACCAAAGTCCTGCAGGAATGAGACCCCCTGTGTGATGCTCATGAGGGATAGCAGGATGGGAGAGAAAGAGCAGGCAGGCTGTTGCATCACTTTCTACAAACATTTTGCCCTTTTCTGCTGGATTTTGGTGCCATGAGGCCAGCCTTATCATAGCAGAGGCCACCAGCCTGGCATTTAAGCCATCAGAGTCAACTTGCAAGGATCATCTTGTGCAGAATTTCAACAATGGCTCTAATTCAGAACTGCTTGGGCTGGGAGGTTTATGGGCACTTGATGCTTTGCTGCATAAGGGCTCTGGGAGGGAGAGCTGGATTTGGAGCCATGGGAGTAGTGGTTTGGGAGTTACTTTTGCAAGCTGTGGATCTCAGGCTGGGAGAGGCTGAAGTGCAGCCAGCATTGGCAGGTGTTATTGCCAAGCCTGCGAGGTTGAGGGAAGGCGAGGACCTCCTCGGACTGAAGCTCTCACTCTTCTCTCTAGGTTTCTGTACAAGGAGAGACCATCTGCCTGAGTGGCTTTTCAGGCCTGGACGTCCCACCGCCCGGGGGCCCACTCTGGATCCTGGGAGATGTCTTCATCGGTCCCTACTACACCGTCTTTGACCGTGATAACGACTCTGTTGGCTTTGCCAAATGTGTCTAAGCGCCTGACCCCCACTGCCTCTGCCACATACACACTTATACACACACACAGGAGCCATAGAGAAAGATTACCAGGATTAGAAACCCAGTGAGTGGAAAGGAAAAAAAAAAAAAAGAAAAAGAAATGGAACTAGATTTAAAATTACATGGAAAATAGTCATTAGTGCCCTGCTAGCTACTTTTTCCCCTCCGTTGAGTAAGTGGTACTGGGAGGTCTCCAGTTGATAACTCCAGTAGCCCCTTGCTTTACTGCTAGGTCTTCCAGTATTTGTTTTTAAGAATGAGTCTCAGAGCTGAACAAGGCCCTCTCACATCTCCCAGTCCTGGTCTCCTTCCTGGGGGAGCAGCTGGCTGGAGCCAGCCCCCGGCGCCTCTGTTCCTGCAGAGAGGCTGCACGGCTGCTCTTGGGTTTGGGCTTCTGCAGCGGGGGAGAGGGATGGGGAAGGCTGTCTGGCACATTATTTACTTCTTGCTTTTTCACTGATGAAGTGGGGGACCAGGTAGGGGAGGAGAGTCCGTCTTCATCACCTCTCCGCGACAGGTTGAGGCAGCGACCACTAGGTCATTTCTCAACGGGTTTGTGCTGGCTTGGTCCTGGGAGAGCACATCCCAGGCTGGCGTGATGGGGGAACGCAGTAGCGTTCCCAAGGGTTGAGTTTCAGAGCCTGAGGGCTTTCGTGGTGTGTTTTTGTGTTGTGACAGCACTCGTGAGAGAGCTGGAGGCATGATGTCCGCATGCCTGACCTAACAAGGCAGAGATTCATGGGGGGCTCCAGCCAGTGGGACTCTTCAGGGAGTAAGAATATAAAGGGGGTCAAGATAGGATTTAATGGAGGTCACTTGAATTCATGGCTATGAAGGCCTAGCTTTCTGCTGAGCAAAGTCACTTGACACAGGTTCTTTTGAGTTTGGTGAACTTCTCCCGGGTTCCCCAAACTGCAGATCTTCCCAGCTTAACCCGCAGCCAGTGAGTTGAGAATAATGTTTCCTAAAGCAACTAAGTGATCTACAAGCTGAAATCACACTAATAAAATCCGTAGGCATTTGTCAGCCACGTAAGACCTTTTGGAAACATTATTCGCAGCATTTTGAACTGCCCAAAACTCAAGAGACAGTTGGCAGAGCCAGCAAGACTCCCAGGCAGGAGGGTGCTGTGGTAGCTGCTGGACTTGCATTCTCTTCCCCTGCTCCCCCATCCCGAAACCCAACTGCCTTTAACACCCTCCTTACCTGCTTGTCACCTTACTAACGCTGGTGAGAGCTCTGTTCATGTCCACCCTGTGTTGCAGACGGAGTGAAGAACAATCCTGCTTCGGAGAGGTTGTAGCTGGTTTAGCTGTGCTTGCAGATCCTCCTGGAGAGCCAAGATCTGTGCATATGGAGCCACTCTCTTCACTGGGCTGGCGTCAATAGGCAAATACTGGTGGAGCTGGGAGGATGATAAAGTGAGTTTTAAGCAGTACTGGAAAGCAGAAGAGAGTCTGCCAAGAATCCCAGCCCATGCTTTCCCAGTGTGCTGGATCAGGTCCTGAAGTTAGGGAGTGGCAGCAGGTGAGGGGCAAAGCTGAGGGTGGCAGGAGGACCAGATCAGAACCGTCCATGACCCCAGGCCAGGCAAAACAGATGGTAAAATCCTGACTCCCCAAAATTCACTATTATCCTGTGAGCAGTACCGGTGGGGCCAAGGAAGTTCCCAAGAAAGGTCTTTGGGCAGTGGGTGAATAGATGGTTATGCCTGGTGAAATGCATATACATCATCCCCACTATTGAATTCACCACGAGCATCAGAGGCACAGGTGGGGAAGAGGTCCCAAGGAGAGCTGTAGGAGAACAGTGAGCATGTAGCCTGTGGATGTCCCCTGTCCCTACCCACTGCAGCTGATCAGTTTGGCTTTATAACCATGCCTCACACCTTGGAGGGGTCTGGCGTGGGCAGTGGGGACAGGCCTGGGCACACTTCTGCTGTGTGTATTGTCCCCTGCAACCCCGGATGCAACAAATGCTGCTCCCAAAGCTTGCTTCTGCCTGCTCGTAGTCTTCACCTGCAACCCTACATCTGGACGCTTAAGGACATCTGTTGCAGACTGGCCAGAGAACAGTAGTGTGTTACCGAAAATCATCAATAGGTACTCCAAAATCAGCAGATATTCAGCACCTCTCAGGAGAGCCCCGGTTTCACACCAATTAAGTGCCCAGAGCTCCTCCAAGTCCTGCTTCATCATTACCCAGCTGCAGGATTTCTCTAGCACAGCGAGACAGAGACAGCGTCTTGGGTACCCGCTAATCAGACCTGATGCAGGGGGGAAGACGAACATGGAGCTGGTGGCAGGTTTTGAACGTCTTCAGCGTCAGATTTAAGTGGGACGTGCAGCGCAGCCCCAGAACAAGCTATCAGGCTGCAGTTCTGCTGGGCATGCAATGCCTTACACTGTCTGTGTCGTAGCCTCCACAGTAATCCAAGGCTGGGCTGGTGTCTGTCCTCAGGCAGGCAGGATACTGCTGCCTGGGGAAAGAGCATGGCCCAAAACGATGCCCTGAGTGACATACCTTAGGATAAGCTGGAGGAGTGGTTCATTGTAATCTTCCCTGAATGGGTCTCCTCCCCTTGTTCTTTTATTTGCATTTTAAAACAAACTCTAACTGCGTGACTGTTGGTTTTTTTTTTTTTAATCTAATTTGCTGTCAGAATTTCTGTCTCATCATAGAAAACTGAAAAGAAAATACAGTATTTCCCTCCCTTAACTCTGAGAGTGGTCTTTCCTTAAGCAGTTTGAGATGAAAAACTCAGTGTCCAGAGACTGTGTCTTCCCGACCTGTTGGCCCAGTACATCTGATCGCCCACTTGGGTGGACTCATACATGCTTCAGAAGGGCTTATTCCCTTCTTACTGATAAGGAAACATGCTAGCAGCCTGTTGGGTTTGTCTTTTTCAATGTATTAAAACATAACTCAGCCTCTTCAGGATGACGTGGCAGTGTCACCTGCCTGATGCAGTACCACCGGGGCAGCAGGCACTCCCAGCATCTCTCCTAGCCTACAGCCTTCTCCTGGGGCCGTATCTTCCTGGCTGAGTATTGCCAAGGGTAGTCCTCCAACAGGGTCCTCGAGCTGTCCCCTGGTCCTCTGGGCCAGCTAGAACAAGCTCCTACTTGACTTGGGACATAGACTGGTCCTGTAGAAGCCAAAACACGACTCCAGTTTCCAAGTCCAGCCTAAAAACCACTAGGACATGGAATTTATGCTCCCAGAGCCCAGTGGTGAAGAACACGTTTTTTTGGTTTTTTTCAAAATGTAGGAAAAATCCATCCCTTTTGTGTGGCTGTGTGATTTTTAGTCCTAGCACTGCTGTATGAGAGCTGGAGACTCCGATGCAGAATGAAGGCCCCATGTGCCAGGTGGAAGATAAGAGCTAATCCCTACTTTGAAAAAAGCATCATCTACATAAGCAAGACGGATGCAGCCAAGTCCCATCCCGTTTTCTGAGTGCAGATCTAAGCACATAGAGAGCATAACTGATTTCCCCACTGGCATGTGCCGAGCCTCTGTTCCGCCAGGATGCCTTAATACCCCAATCAGCTGTTCTCCTACGTTAAAGAGATGGATTTAACCCAAAAAGGCTGGCTGAGTCCTGAAAACCAATCATGCAGCCCACCATTCCTCAATAGCCCAAGGGGAGAACAAGTCATCCACAGCCAAATGTTTACCGATGGGAATATGAGGGCGTTGCTTCGCTGGGGGGATTGTGCCTAAGCCTTTAATTGTGCCATGAGTACTGAATGTTTCGTCTCAGCGGGAACAATCACAGGCTTGATCTTGGCCAAGAGCTGGAGAAGCCAAGAGCCAGGATTGTCCACCCATGCTTTTCCAGCAGGGAGCAGAGCACACCCCACCCCACGAGCAGCCTGCACGTGGCCCCATGTTATCTTGCCCAGCAAATCCTGCGGTTTACACCAGCCCCCCCATTTACTGCACCGTCTCTGCAGAACTCCGTGCACATGACAATTTGATAACTCACTCTTTAGTAAATGTCTCCACTGATGCTAAGAAGATAGATAGATAAAATTTTTCATTATACATCCCCCTGAGTAGTAGGGCGCTTGGCCCTGACCCTCAGGGCTGTCTTCATGGGCCTGATCCTTCTCCAGCTGACTCCGTTCTAGGTCTGATGAGGGCTTTGCCAAAAGCCCACTCAGACAAGGACCTGCCCAAGGAGAGGGAGGATGAGACCCCTCGTTTATGGAGATGACTTGCTCATCTGGTTGGCTCAGCAATTTCTTGCTTTGGGAAACTATTTTTACTCACTGTCAATGACGAAAAAAGTTGTTTTGGGGGCTGGTGGCTTTTTCTTTTTCCGCTCTTTCTTGGATTTATTTTTAGGTTCCTTTGGGAGGGAAAAGAAGCAGAGTGCAGACTGAAAGCTTAGATGACAGCTTAGATGACAGCAGACAGAGAGCAAGGGAGAGTGGGGAGATGGGATTTACCCCTCCAAGCCTCAGGGCACCTCACTGCTTATGGGGCATCCCCATTGAGGGATTTTATAAGGCGAATATGAAAGAGCATTCAGGAGGTTGTGGGCCTTTTCCTTCAGAAAAAAGCAGGGGCAAGTCCTGCTAATGGTTTTCCAGAGAGCTGGAGTAGGATTTGAGATGGAAGACTTTCTGACAGGCCTTACAGCACATGATTACGCTACAGCCCACATGTCTTTAACATGATTACAGGAGAATTGCTTTGGGGCAGGAGATATCTTTCTGTTCTGTTCATCCCATGCTCAGCACAACGGGATGTGGGCCTTGATGCCACAGTAATACAGGCGATTATTCGTACTCATCCCAGCTTTTATGTGGTCCTAGACCTTATGGTTGAGGGCTTGCATGCATGACCTTTAAAGACTCTCAGAAAATAGGAGGAGTGTTAAAATAATGCAGAATATTGAGGGTTTTTTCTTCCTTGTGTCATTATTTTTTAAGCTAGTTCCCTAATTTTGAAGGGTCACATGAATGGTTTTTGAACTGGTAATGCTGCATATATGCCGTTGTGGTCCACAGTAATACACCTCTCACTGCTCATGCTTAGCATTGAGAAAGATGATGAATTAC